AGGCACAAAAAACAAACAAAAAAACACAGTTAATATGTCAGATATGTGAATATATTAGTGTTGTACCAGCTCCAGGTCCCCCTAATACAAATATAACGTTTGGCTTCTTTTTACTAACTATGAGATAAGAAACACAAACAAAAAATACAACCGACATTTTTTTCTTTTCAAATCTTTTATATAACGTTGCCTGACATAGTCCAGATTTTGCACACAAATAAATATTACGTGATTAGACAGACGAGAATGATCGAGAAGATATGTTAATTCTTCATCGTCATTTCATGAGCTAAACGTTTTTTCATCGTCAAGTCAATTAATTCACTTGTTGGCGTTCTTGTGTTGTTGGTCATGCCTCTCTCGTTTGTCGGATCATTCGCTCGGACGAGTGATCTGGAATAGAATTCAATGTTGTGCATGTATGTCTCGATGACGGTATTCATGCATTTCGTCCCATAATATTCTTCCCAGTGCGATGGTAGAAAAAAAAAAGAGAACGCCGCGCATCAAACATGCATATATTCGCTTGATGCCATCGGAGCTTCGTCGAAAAAAGTATTTAATTTATGTTTCAAATATGCTTGATGACGTTTTCGTATAGCTGTTTAACGATTTTCAATGACTTGTTTCACTAATAAAGGACAGTCAGATTGTACCAATTTATCTTGTAAAGTCATAAGTAGCTGTTGATGACTACGTTTTATATTTCACGTTATTCACCATAACGAGATTCTTCTCACCAGTGAGGGTGAAACAAGTCATTGAAAATCGTCAAACAACTATACGAAAACGTCACCAAGCATATTTGAAACATAAATTAAATACTTTTTTCGATGAACCTCCAACGGCATGCATCAAGCGAATACAGAAGCAGTTTCGTCGCCGTCGGAGCAGTGTCTTCATTTATAGAACAATAAATGCTTCATCACCATTTATTGAAGTCAATGTAAACTTAACTCCACAACAAATGTCCATGTTTATCAATGGTCTCAAATATGTTACACCATGTCAAAATCGATTCTCACGTAGATCTATCGATGAAATTGTCAGGAACAGTTTCGAAATATATCTACAATCGTCCAAAGTTGTCTGAAAGATCACCGAATGTCCATTACGGATGAACGAGCAAAAGAAGCATTTCCAGCGTTGAAGTGTGTCCTGTATGATACGTATTCGAAAGAACTACCTAAGAACTTACGAATACGTGCTCAATGTGAATGGAAAATTGTCCAAACTATCCAATGTCTTCTACGTCATCGATCAGACATTGCCATACGTCGAACTGATAAAAGCAAAGTATTTTATATCGGTAAAGTGGATGATTTTACACGTAATGCAGAAGAATATATGCTCAAAATACAAGCTTATGAAAAACTTACCAGCGGTCGGTGTCCTCTGATAGATTGTTTTAATGCTGTACAAGCTTTACTCGATTTTCTCGTGATGAAAAATGCACTTACCCAAAATCAACGGAATCAATTATCTCTAAAACTAGGTAATTCAGAATTAGGTCACTATCATGATCTATCTAAAGCACACAAAGTAAATTCATTTCATTCAGTATATACTGTAGCTTATATTCTATCTTTTTCTCAATAGCCGGGAACACCATTAGGTCCTATCATTGCCAGTATGTATGCACCAGCAACATTGCTCTCGAAGTTTCTGAATGACCTCTTAGCACCTATATTTCTAAAAGTTGCTCGTGACACAACGTATATCAATGGCATTGACGTTGTCCGAAAACTGGAAACATATGTAGCAAATGGTTATGTGAAATCTACAACGCAATTCGTTACAGCTGATGTCATTGATTTGTATATCATGATTCCACGACAAGGTGCACTCGAAGCGTTAGCTCGATTTTGTATTCAACATGCATAACAAAGCAAAATTGGAACACTAACAGTTGATCATATCATGAGAATGGCCCGCTTAATTTTGGATACGAACTATTTTGCTTATAATCACAAGTACTACAAACAAATTCGTGGCGGAGCGATGGGTTCAGCATTCACACAAGTCCTGACAAGCATCTATATGCTAGAATGGGAACAAGATTTGATCAAATATCAAACATCACGAAATGAGATCTATGGAAGATTCGTTGAACACTTAATAAGTGAAATGCTTTACTTTTAATTTAATTACTTTTATTTTTTCTAGATATATCGATGATATATTCATGACAACAAACTTCAAGCAACAGATCACATTAAAGAAGTACTTGAACAGGCGAACAATAAAGATATCAACATCAAAATTAACTATACAATTAATGTGTCAGTTGATTTGCTTGATATTACTATTACAAATGATAGTAGTCACTTCGAGCAAAATTTTGAAGTACGAGTGAAGTATCAGTGAAGTACAAATGAAATACGCACTACTTGAAGTCTCGCTTTTTCTCCCTTGATGTATAGTCAATAGTTAATTGATAAAACTGATATCGAATTCCGATCCATTAATAGCTGTATACGCAAAGTTCTGCCTACCACTAACAGCATGAGTTAAATAGGTTGATAATTCCGTACTAGTAACCTTTTGTATTGTAGCTTGTCGTAAATTTGTAGTTCTCGTTGTACATTGAGGACAATTATTGGTTCGACAATGATATTCTCCTCTCAGACCTTGGATTAAATATTTAGTGAAAATGCCATTTGTGTCACCTTGATAGGAAAGCTCACTACCGCGAGACGCACACAAAATATGAATTCCTTCTTTACACATATTTGCACCCCAAATGAACGGATTACTCATACCTCCGGCATAGCAACTATCAAACATAAGAATTATTTTGTTGGTTTTGGCAGTACGAAGAATGTTTGATAGCTCAGATGATATGAGCATTTTGTTATCATTTGTAACGAGATACGATCCATGAGGTGTTGTTCCACCGTGCCC